TGTTTTGCAGCCTCAGGCACAGGGAGCCTTGTTCGGGTGCAAGGCTTCATGAAAAAAAAAAATTATGTTGACATTTTGAGGGATAATATGAAAAAATCTGCTCTTAGTCTTCGCTTAGGTCGTCGCTGGGTCTTCCAACAAGACAATGACCCAAAGCACACATCAAACTTGGTTCAAACAGTTCCTAAAGGATACCAAAACCAAGGTGCTGGAGTGGCCCGCCCATAGCCCAGATCTGAATCCTATTGAGAATCTGTGGCGGGTAATCAAAGTGAATGTCCATGCTCGGAAACCACGCAATTTGGACCAGCTGGAACAATTTGCAATGGAAGAATGGGCCAAAATCCCTCAAGAGACCTGTGCCAACCTAGTAAAGAACTACTCTAAGAGGTTGTTGTCAGTTGTGGCTCAGAAAGGGTACACTGTTGACTATTAATGGCCTGGGGGCTAATATTTTTTGGCCAACCCATTTTTCACTATATTTGATATAAAGCAAGCCTAAAAACTTATTTTATGTTCCACCAAAACCTACTAAATAGCACTAGTGAATGTTTGATTATATCAAGTTTTATCAATACTGGAAACATTGGGAATAATTTTAGGAAAATGTTCCATAACTCCTGGGGAGCTAATAATTTAGGCCTCAACTGTAAATCATCTGAACACATCTATCCATCAGACAGAGTGCTGCTGTGCCTCCTGTCATCATTAATGGACGTCTCTTTAAAATGACCGATCTAAACGCCTGCTGCTTCCACTCCTCTCTACTCGACTCCTCCGCACGCATCTCCTGTGGGCGGGACTAAGACACAAGGATAGGAGTCGAGGAGGGGAATTAGAGAAATTAGGAACCCTCTATGTTCCGGAAGTAAACAAAGGAGTCCAATGGAGGCTTTTCAGGTGGGGGGGAGCGTGGAGGGAACACAGGGATTTGAGCCTTTGCAGAACATTAACATGCAAAAAAACAAACCTATAGAACACACTACAGAGTGTACACTACTGTACCATTATCATTCATATCACATCATAATGTATCATATATTTCCTTATCTGAGTCAGCTTCTTGAGCCGTATCTAGCCGTGCAACACTTAGTGTCACATTTTGCAGAAGTATTCATTTAAGCAACACATTAAGTTGACTCGAGTCAAATGTAATTAAAGCAGCACCTGATCTTAAAGTAAAAAACCTTAGCCACATGTGACACTCCACCCTCCTTCCAGCAATGTGTACAAACGAACAGTAGATGGCACTCTGGCAACAAGAACAACGACAGCAAGGGAAGTTAGAGAGTAATTCAGATTTTAATTCCATGTCATGATATGTAAATGAACACAGTGACACATAAATTCACAGGTAAATGCAAATGCACACATATTTATGTTTACTCTCAGTCAGGGTTTAAAAAGAACACGACATCTCTTTTACATTTTAAGAATAACTTTTCTTGAGGATTTATTTTGTCATGCTTTTCTCTGTTCAACTCCATTATACTTCTACCTTGGCTGCAATATTTCTTATGTCTTACATAATATTTGTCCTTATCAACACTATATGCTAAATCAGAATGAGTTTCCACCTATGGTTTCCACCTATCAATATGACTTCCCAGCACTTACAATCAAAACATGAAGATATGTCCTATATGGTACTTCAATACAGCTTGAATTTATACACATGAATGTACTTTAAGTAAAACTTTGAATTCCTTTTTCTAATTAGGTTTTTAACTAGTTGTTTTCACCCAATATTAGCTTTTATTTTTGTATATGAGGAAGTGAATGGCCTATTCCTTCTCTTTCTGAAAAAACGACCTTGAATAGTTAATACATTCATTTTAATTAATATTTTTTCTATTTTAAAATGCATATTCAAAGATTAAAGTCTAAAGAAACGTTTATTGTGATAATTTATTTAATGTTCTTTATTCATTTATTAAGTTTGGGGATTTAACAGTCAATTTTGTCCACAGGAACAGTGGACTGCTGAATGGAGTTTTCTTCTCTGCGCTTCTGACGCTTCACAACATAAAACCTTATCACAATGATAAAAATTGCCAGGGCCACGATAACAGTGATCCATATCCAGACCAAACCCCCAGCAGGCGCAGCGGCACCCTGCTGTGTGTGATTATTGGTGGCTGGTTTCACAACACCTATGACGACAGGACTTGTGACCACAACATTTTCCCCGCCTTCTGCCTTAACACATTTACCGTGATCTTTCAGTATATATCCTTCTCTGCAAGAACACACAAAACTCCCAAAACTGTTTTCACAATTTTGGTCACATGCATTAACACATTCATCTATGTCCTCGCACAGTTGGCCACCTAGTACAAAGCCTTCAGGACAGAAGCACCCGCTATTAGGTCCTCTCTCACATATCGCATAGCATTTCTGTTGCCCGCAGTGCATTTTGCACCGCCAGGGGTCTTTGTCGTCTTGGATATATCCAGCAAAACAGGAACATATATAACCTCCCTTTACATCTTTGCATGTATGCTCACAAGGACCAACTGAACAGCCTTTAGAGCTCAGGATAACATTCGGATCTGACAGTTGTCCCGTCTGGCATGCATCTTTGTGCTTTGTTCGGCCCAGAAACCCATCCGCTTTGTCCGAGCACAGCCTCTCTGTCAACTTTCCATCCTTTGAAAGTGACACACAGTGCGGAGAGCAGACTTTAACACTCTCTTTCCATTTGGCGAAGGATGGAAGAAAGGTCCTTTGCATACTACCAGAGGTCCACTCATAGCCTCTCAGTGGAGCTGAGAGGTTGCTGCAGGTGGCAGCGGGTAAATGCAGTCCAATCCAGAAGTCTCCATACAGTTCATCTCTGAAAATGTCAAGTGTGCTCTCATCTGTCTCTGACTGAAATGTCATCAATGCCCCGTTCCTGTCGCGGCATGTTTCCTCAGCTGTCTGGAAATCCACTCTCTCTTGGTTTACAGTTATGCAGTCATTCCCTGTACAAAAAGGCCTACAGACACCAGCCTGATTAATGCTAAATCCTGTCTTAACAGACAATATAAAAATCACTGACATCAAAAAAGACATTGCCACTACCCTCACTGGCACAAAAGCAGTCATTTGCGAGCAGGCAATGATGTTCTGTAGTAGATCATCTTGTAATGTTGGCTGAATATTCTGTAGAATTTAGAGCATGGGGCTTCCTACTCAGGAAGCCACACCCCTCAGGACAATGAGAGAGTTAAAGACAGGAAGGAAGTGAGATAAAGTTGGACTACTGGCTTCTCTCCAATGTTGGTGAAGGCCAAGGATCATTAACAGCAAAAACAGGAAACAAACCCTACTCATAATTCAGAACGAACTGTTCTCTTGTCTCATAGCCTAATCCTATTGAGTACATAGTCAGATGTACATGTTTTCATAATTACAGTATATCTACACCAGCATCAAACTGTATGTGTAAACTATATTCAGCTAATAAAATGACAAATCAGTAATTGAACAGGCAGTGGTAGACATATGACTCAAACACGTACGATGGTAATAAAGCATAAAATGTAGCCAGTTAAAACTACATCCTGCTACAACTTATTCCCTCAAATCTTTCTGGGAACATCTGGTACCCACCCAACTATCAGTTTTACACACAGTTTTCCTTCTTAGATACAGCCCCTAACCCCCCTCCATACTGGAACAACCTTTTTGTATCAACAACACCTACACATGTTTACACTTTGCTACTTCTTGCCAAATTCACCACATCTTTGCTCTATTTTTACTCTATTAGCTACATTGAAAAACTTCTGGTGGGCAATGATGTATTTACTGATCTGTTATCTGATATGTAACCATTTCCAACCATTAGCCTAACCAAGAGAGGTTGCAAGAACATAAATTACATAAGTAAACATGGTAATCCATGTAGTCAGTGTTCTCCATCACTATCATGCTATAGGTCATCAGTCAAGATTGACTCGTAGAGTTTCTCTAAACGCGGATCCAAACCAGAGGACACCCAGCAGTAGCCATCGGTAGTTGTATTTTTCTTGGCTTCTTTTTTGGACCGATTGCAGCGAATAATTGCTATAGCCATGGCCACCGCGACCAAAAGCAGCAGAGGAATGACTGAACCAAGGACGCAGACGATCACCCTGGAATTGATAGACTCAGCCAAACCTGTCACTGATGATGCGTTGTTCTGCTGATCGTCCGGCGGCAGGTTCACCAAGTCCAGAATTGGCGCGTTGGTGTGAGGGGACTGGTGTTGGAGCTCCACTGTTGTCCTGGTTAAAGGCTCTGTAAAGTTTTCTTGTGTTTCCTCATCATTAGGCTCCTCTGTTGAAGATGCTGATGTTGCTGTCACTTCCTGAGCGCAGATTAATCCGTCAATCTCCAGGTAGAAGCCTTTCGGGCAGGTGCACCGGAAACTTCCGATGGTATTGAAGCATTCAAACTGACAGAGACTACTGACGCATTCATCAATGTCCTCACACGAATGGTCATCCTCGGATAAACTGAAGCCTTCATTGCAGTAACACGAGAAGAATCCAATACTGTTCAAGCAGCTGTGTTCGCATCTTCCTTGCACACACTCATCCATATCAACGCAAGTACCGACAACCATTTCGTAGCCGCTTTGACATGTACAAGTGTAACTTCCGTGTGTGTTTACGCACACGTGATCTTCACAGGTCTGTGACTGGCACTCATCTACGTCAGAGCAGTTCCGCTGGTTTGCATCCAATCTGAACCCATCTGGACACTTGCAAAAATACCCAGACTCCGTCGTCACGCACTGATGCTCACAGGTGCCAACGCCGCACACATCCTTCACCCTGCAAGTGAATCCATCGTCATCCAGGTCGTAACCTTCTTTGCACAAGCATTTAACCTCATCTGCTTCTTGGTGGCACAAATGTTCACATCTGCCGTTGTTTATTTCGCAGTGTTCCTTTCCTGGTTTGCAAAATGGACCAGGAACAGTCCAACTATAGATGTCGTCCGTCCCCAGGCACACAGAGTATTGGCACTGTTGCTCACTACATGAAAAAACAGCATATGTTCCAAGTGGAAATGATTCCATTTCACTTCTTTGGGGCTTTTCTGAGAAAGGAGCTGTGTAGGTTATTTCTCCAGGCCCCAACAAATCCAACGGTTTGCACATCCCCTTGAAATAAAACTTACACGCATAAAAAGCAGGGCTTTTGCATGTTCCGTCAACCCATTTCAGTTGGTTCTGACCTGATTCGGTGTAAGGAATTTTTACGCATCTCTCTTTGCATGTTTTGACAGGTTCTCTTCCCCAGTTGGAGTAGTTGGAATCTTCCTCCCCAGACACCCACTTAAACCCCTTCAGAGTCTTGTCAGGCAGCACACAGTCCTTTTTGTGCAGTTTTAATCCAATCCAAAATGTAGATGCCCTGTCCTGACTTTTTCTTTGGATCCGTGAGAGAAGCCAACGGAGCACATCCTCTTCTTCCCGGTCTCTCACTGTCATCACGTAACCTCCATTGTGGTCACAGTTCTGAACGGCCTTGTCAAAGAGTACCTTGTTCATGTGAAGGGTGAAGCAGGCGTTGGAGGTGCACAGCGTCTCATGTTCAGCTTCAGAAAGCCCAGCCATGCTGCCGATGAGCTGCAGGAGAAAAATCCAGAACATATTTGCCATACAGATCAACAAATTAGCTGTAACATCCAGAAGGTCCCGGGCAGCTTTTCGGGGGAAATGCGACAAATATGTGGTGGTCCATTCGTAGCCAAAAACAAGTGGTGAGGGTCTGAGACTAACATTCATGCACATGCATCCTGTTTGGGAAACAAACTAAAGACGGAAACCATGTTTAGCTGCAGCTATGGGTTCTTTATCTTTCCCCCGCTGACCAGTTCCTTTTTGGAAGAAAAAACAATGGCAGGCTTCGCTGTGTTATGACTGCGTCTCCAGATGTCTCCGGCCCCAGCAGACTTTTGGCCTTTTAGCTGACTCCCTTGATTGTGGGCCCTCACAATACATGCACATGCAGGGGTCACAGTGAATGATGCACAATAGCTGCAAGAGATAATCTGTGACCTTTGCCACTATGCTGTCTATCCAGGCAAAGATAAAACACACACACAAACACTAGTTGTGTGTCTTTTCAGCATTGCACACACAAAAACAAAAAAAACAATGGCTAAACAAAGAAAGACCAATACAAAAATAAAGGTTACCTTTTGATCACTCTTCAATGCTTCAGACATATCCTAATTTTCCACAAAAAAATAAATAGCAACAGTCCACAAATTGTTTGTCCGGTGAAAGAAAAGTACATTTTAGAACCTTTTCAGAAATAGGAAATTATAATATTATATATAATGTGTGTGTTTTGCTTCTTTATAGATGACATGGTGCTCTTACGTGGTCTGTTTGACTGTCACCATGAATATAAAAAAGAATGAAACAAAAAAATCACATTGGAAACCCTTGACAGTAACTCAGAAAGTATTTAAAAAGCCACATTGACATTTCGATAGATTAAGATTCTCTGCCACAGTGTAATTATATAGCAAGATATTAAAAAGAGACAACAGGAATCCAACAGATATTATCAGGTGTAGTGATATGAACTTGATTTAGTAGGTGAAGTTACATTTAAGTACAACTGCATCATTTTTATCTTGCCAGGTCTCAGTCAATGGGGTTAATTCCAGGTTGTGGGAGGGATCATGTTATCTTTGTTTATGGTTTGTAAGTATAAAAATCTGTATTGCATAGAGACAGTCATTACAATGATGAATCGGATTCACCAAAAAGTTGTGCATTGCATAAAGGTCACTGAAAAGAATGTCAGTGAGTGAGATAGGATAATCAATCAGTCTCCCTCAGCTCTCAGCAGGGCCGGAGTGGGACAATAATTCAGGCCGGCAATTATACACCCAGCCAGGCCACTACCAGTTTTTTGTACCATTTTGCTGGATTTATTTTTGAATATTTACAGCGTTGCTGATTTTTTTTTTTTTTTTTGTTAAATGCATCAATCTGGTGCAGTTTGAGGGAGAAATAAAGAGACTAGATCTATGGAAGCACCCATATGAAACAGAACTGTATAGATTTAAATAATCATAAAATCATAAGAACGTGGCCATAACCAATAACATACCATATCCAATATTTAAAAAAAATGAAAGTTATTTATTTATTTTTGGTTCATTTATAGTTGTGAGTGTGTATGTGCTCCTGAACCAGCCTCTCCTGTCTCCCCCCTCCTGTTGGCAGCAGCAAAGACTTTTAGCTCTCAACAAGTTTTTAGTTTGTCTTACCTTTTTTCACCTATTTAACATTTTTTTCTTTTTATTCATGGGTATTTTATAAATCACTTCCCCCTCAAATGGAAATATGTGTTTACATAAATGATGACCCACTGAGATAACTTAGACTTAAGTTAACTAAGAGAGTCCTTAACCCATGCGTTTCTCAAAGTGTGGGGCCCGCCACTTTTTGGACCTCAGGCCGGAATCGAACCTGGGTCCTTGCGGGCGGTAGTGGACTGTTTACAGCCGGAGACTCGCAACGGCGGTGGACTTTCACAGCCGCCGGAGCCACCGGAGCCGCCGGAGCCTCAGAGGACCCAGAGGACAGTGACAGTGAGTCATTCTTTGACATCGTTGAGGTAGCAAAGGGAGAGGAGTACTCTTTCCAGAGGATCAGATCCTTTCTGGCGGAAACTAAGGGGTGGAGGGGGGTGAAGTTAGAGAATTTTTTTGCTGATTTGCAGATTTTTCACAATACTACCAGGGTTCTCATGCGGTGCAAAGAAGCCGGAACCTTTCTTCAGCGGCCCAGAGAAGCCTCGGTTAAAGAAGATACTTCAGAGGATTAGAGAGGAAACTGTTTTTTTTTTGGAAATCTTGTTTTTATTTTATTTTATTTTATTCTCTTTTTAGTTTTCTTCAGCCAGGGTTTTGTTTTATGTAATTATAATGTCATTATGAGTGTCATAAAGCTGGGCTCTTTAAAGATTGACGTTTCTCGAGGAGTTGCTAAGAGAGCATCTTTGTTTGTGATGCTTTTCTTCTGGGACTGCATGCACTGGGTCCCTTAGAGCGTCCTATTCCTGCCAAAGGAGGAGGGGGGACAGGGGCGGACTGGGACTACAAATCAGCCCGGGACTCTCGACTGGCCCACTTCGGTACCGCCGGTCCACCGCGATACCGCAAGTAAATACCGCTAGTAAATTGTCGACGGGGGGGGATGACTTACCGCAGAGGTAGACATTAATGGTAAAATGCCACTGGCCCTCTGGAACAACACATTTGTTGCAATAGTAATTTATGCACTAACTACATTACTACTTGAATCATCAGTTCTTCCTCATTTTCCTCAATTGTTCATATTTGGTTTATTAAAATAATGATATTGTGGTCATTGTTAAAAAATGTCTGCTATTATTATGAGTATTATTATTTGTATAAAGCGCTTTCTGCCTTCCTGTCATTAGGAGTTAGAAATGTAATGGCTATGTAATAGATTAGATCCTTCATTATCCTAAACTACTGGGACATTTCCCTAAAGCCAATACCTTTATATTGTCTACTCTTCACTTACTTGTCAGCATAGCCGTGGGAACATGTTTCAAATGGGGGGTGCTGTGGGGATCACATCCTCTAGGGGGGTCAGGGGGGAAGATTTTTTTTCAACATTATAAAGTAAAATGCTTCAATCTGGTGCACTTTGAGCTGAATTGCCAGAGACTAGATCTAAGGGGTACAACTCTAAACACCCATATCGAAAATATCGGTTTACATTTTAATTAATCAAATAAGTGTGTGGACATAACCAATAACCTAACATAGCCAATAACAAGTAAATGTAACTTATTTTATTTTTGTTGTTCATTTATTTCTTATTTTACCAGTTAACATTTATTTATTTATGCATATTCT